CCAATGTGGCCTCGAACTCACAGAGATCCAGAGGGATTTCTGCCTCCGGAATGCTAGGATTAAAGGTGTGAGTGCCACCATTTTCTAGCCTTTGTATCTAGTGGCTGTCCTCTGACCCCAGATAAACTTATTAGGGTGCACAATATTTTGGGGAACACAATACCACCACAAACCTTAATAAATACAGTAAAATTGAAATCCATGTATCCTAGCCAACCATTATGCAATAAAATTTAAAATCAACAGCAAATCAAACTAAGAAGAATATTAACCCTTTATTGAATCATGAATGGGTTCAAGAAGTCAGGAAAGAAAAATATTCTGGAGCCAAATGAAAATAAAAACACAATACAACAAAGCTTTTGGGACACACTTCTAAGAGGGAAGTTTATAGCTCTAAGTACCTACCATTAAAAAAAATCAGAGAGTAGTAATAAATGACTTAGATGCAACTCAAGAATTTGGAAAAAACAAGAACAAACCAAGCCCAAACCCAATAGAGGGCAACAAATAATAACAAAGTACAAATTAATAAAACTGAAACAAAGTTTCAAAGAATCTGTAAGTCTCAGAGCTGGTTCTTTGAGAAGAAAAACAAGAGAATGGACCTTTGGTCCACCTAACCAAAAGGGAAAAAAGCTAACAGAATCAGAAATGAGCAGGAAAACAGAACAGGGAACTCCAAAGAAACAGCAAAACCTTAAAAACCTGTAAACTGGAAAACCGGAAATACATGGTTGAGTTTCTTGGCTCATCCAAATTACCAAAGTTAAACTGAGATTAACAACCTAAACAGACCCATAAGACAAGAGATTGAAACAGTAATAAAAAGCCTTTTGTCTAAAACAAACCAAACCAAACCAAACCAAACCAACCAACCAAACAAACAAACAAACAAAAAAACCCTCAGGCCCAAACATATTTGCAACAGAATTATACCTGATTTTCAAAGAACTACAACCAGTACTTCTTAAATTATTCAAAAACTATAAATAGAAGGACCAATCCCCAATTTGTTGTTAGTTTTATTCTAATACCCAAACTAGGTAAAGACAGAGGAGGGAGAAAAATCTCAAACAGAATACAGGTGCATCAAGATCACCACAATCAAGTTGACTTTATCCCTGAAGTGCAGGGTTACTTCAACATACATAAACCAATAAATACATTTTTTTGAAAACAATATGATACATATAAGTGATCCCAAAAAGTTCCACCAGAAAACTAGAAACAAAACACTTTCAGCAAAACCGTAGGGTACAAGATCAACTTAAAAAAATTAGTAGCTTTCTATACACCAACAACAAGCACACTGAAAAAGAGGTCACGGACACATTCCCATTTACAACAGCATCAAAGACAGTAAAATATCTTGAATTAAGCCTCACTAAGGAGGCAAAAGATCTACAATGAAAACTTTAAATAACTTGAAGATTGAGAAAATAAACACTAGAGTAGAAATGATACTGTGAAAATAACCATCCTACCAAAAGCAAGTTATAGATTTAATGCAATCTTAATCAAAATGTCTATAACATTCTTTATAGAAATAGAAAAAAAAACCCAAAAATTAAAAGGAAACAAAAAAGATCCTTTACAGCCAAAGCAATCTTGAACAAAATGAATACTGGAGGGATTGCCATTACAGAGTTCAAGATACATTAATAGAGCTATAGAAACAAAAACAATATAGTACTGGCACAAAACAGACATGTAGACCCATGGATTGAAATGGAAGGCCCAAACATGTGTACAACCATCTCATATTTAACAGACAAAAAACATGCACAAGAGAAAAAAAAACTTCAATAATTGGTGCTAGGGAAACTGGATGTCCAGATGCAGAAAAATGAAATTAAACTTGCACCTACCACCCTGTGCAGAAATTATCTCCAAGTTGATCAGAGACCCCAATTTTAAACCCAAAACACCAAAAATACTAGAAGAAGACACCTACACGATCTAGGTGTAGGAAAGGGCTTAATAAATTGGACTTCATTTGCCCAAAAATTATAGCTAACAATTGACAGGTGGGACCTCATAAAACTAAAAAGCTGCTGTACAGCTGAGGAAACAAGTGAAGAGACCTGCAGATGGAGAGATTTGTTTTCTAGCAATACATCTGACAGGATTAATATCCAGAATATACAAAGAGCTAAAAAAATAGAATCAAGGAACCAAATGGGCTAGAGATCTAAACAGAGAGTTCTTGATAGAATAAAAATGTCTATGAAATACATCAAAAATGTCCATCAGTTTTAGCATTTAAAACAGCTTTTGAGATTTCATCTCAGAATGGCCAAGATCAACAAAACCACGGACAGTTTCTGTCAAGTTGTGGGAAAGAGCAACTCTCATTCACTATTAGTGGGAATAAAAATCAGTGCAGCTACTCTGGAAATCAGTGTGGATAATCCTCAAAAAATTAAAAAAGACGTCTGTCTTTTGACCCAGCAATACCACTTGTTTGCATATGCCCAAGGTACTCAACATCTTATTCCACAGTTAACTTGCTCGGCATTGTTCAATGCTGCTGTATTCACAATAGCTAGGAAATAGAACCAGCCTAAATGTCCTCCAACAAATAAATGGGTAATGAAAATGTGGCACATATGTACAATGGAATACCATTCAGTGCTAAAGAAAAATGTAATTATGAATGTGAATGGGTGGACCTAGAAAATACTATATTTAGTGAGGTAACCCAGACTCAGAGAAACACCACCTGTTTTCGCTCATCTCCATGTCCTAGCTCCAAGGTATATATGAATATACAACATGGAGTAGCCACAGAAACCAGGAAAGTATAAAAGGATCATAGATGGGGGTTGGGGGTTGGGAGGAGAATAGTAGGATACTGGTGATACAAATTGGAAAATGGAAAAATGGGCAGAGGTCTCCAACTGGGGGTGTGGTCTATACAGAAGGTGTGGGGGAGGGACAAATAACTCCAAGGTTGTTTGGTAAAGCCTCAAGGAATATTAAAGTAAAATTATATGTTATATGTGTGTGTGTGCATGTGTGTGCATCTACACACACAGAGCTTAAAAGAAGTCATGCCATTTGACAGTCTTTCCCACAAGATCCAACCCCAGCACCAGGCATGAGAAACTTCCTTTGAATGGCTTGTCAAAGTAGTCCAAGTGACTCCCAAATAATAGACTGTTGCTCTTGGTTGCTTTTCCGAGGTGAAGGCAAGTCTGACTGCTTAGGACACCATATAGTTAGGACACAGCAGTTGGATGATCTGAGCTGCACCTCACCTGAAAGCCTCTTCCCCAGTGACTTCCACGGTACCAGAAACTACTAAGCCAGCTGCAAAGGGAGGGAAGCAAGTCAGTCCTACCAGGCTGTGACACCTGAGAACCACAACAGTGACCAGCATGGCAAGATACCTGTAACAGTGCAGTAAGTGACAGTCCCATTGTAGTAACCAACAGCCGTGTAATAAATATATATATATATATATATATATATATATATATATATATATATATATATATAGAGAGAGAGAGAGAGAGAGAGAGAGAGAGAGAGAGAAATAACAATACACTTGTTTCTACATGTGATTATGTTCAGGATAATTTTATTTTACTAATTACAATTGTTATTTGCTGGTCATTTGGAATCTGTGGTTACAGATGGGAACTGTGTGAGAAAGAAGACATGGTGCTGTGAGAATGGAAGAACTCCGTCCCTCGCTCCTCCTTCAGGGAGCTTCACACCAGCTAGGCAAAGGTCAAGTGTACTTGGTATGGCTGGAAGACCATGGCTGACTTTTCAAGAACTGTGCTTTCTCATTTGATATTTCACCTTTTGGTAAAGAGACTTTGAAGGAACCCAAGACCAGAAGCATCCAGCCTGGAATACTTCCCCTGTCCCATCATCTCTTCCACATGATGCACTGAGGCCAGAGGCACCTGTACATTAGTTGGACTCTATATCGGTTAAAAGAAAATGTTTTGATGTATCTGGCCTAGCTCCAAAACTGGAAGGTATGATTTCTAGTGGGATGGTATCCACTTTAGATTTGAGAAGAATTCAAGAATTATTTGATTTCATATAGAGAGATGCAAAGTGCTTTTAGAACAACTCTGGCATTAAGTGACAGTGGGGATGATTAAAATAATATCTTGACTTAAAACACAAGGCTGTGCTTCCCATTTCAGCAGTGAGCCTGAAACACCTGTGTGTGTGCATTTGTGTATGTGCACGTGTGTGTGCATTTGTGTATGTGTGTGTGTGTGTATGTGTGTGTGTGTGTGTGTGTGTGTGTGTGTGTGTGTGTAATCAAGAAAGAGCTATCAATCTGTCAATCCTGTCCATGTCTGGGCCGGGTGAGGTTTCCCGTGTTGTGTGTGTGTTGAGTGATATAGAATGAAGTATTGTTTGCAAGAAAACAAAATCTTAAGTCTTCTTCTGTAAAGACAAACTGTCATTAAGCCTCAGTCAGCCTCACTCGTTCTAATCCTACTGTATACCATAGCAAAAGAAACAACAATGAAAAGAAGCATGTAAAAAGCTCAGTCTGAGCCTCTCTAATAGTGAGTGCATGGTTCCTCACCCACAGTTAAGAGAGACAAAGAGCCACTGTGTCTGTGGTGCCAGCACTCAGGAGGCTGACACAGCAAGATCACTTGACCCCTGGGTAAACAAATACCCTGTTAAAAACAAACGACCAAAAAATAGACGAATGCCAGGCAGTGGTGGCACACGCCTTTAATCCCAGCACTTGGGAGGCAGAGCCAGGTGGATCTCTGTGAGTTCAAGGCCAGCCTGGTCTACAGAGTGAGATCCAGGACAGGCACCAAAACTACACAGAGAAACCCTGTCTTGAAAAACAAAACAAACAAACAAACAAAAAAGATGAAGATATTTGATAGTTCATATACCAAAACTGTGTGAGCTAATTCAATAACTAAACTATTTTGCTTGTGATATATGTCCAGTTAGTATTGTATCAATTCTCAGTAATACTACTAAGTAATAGTAAGGGAATTATGTTTATATCCAGGTTTACTGTACTCAGAAACAGTACCATGTATTTGTATACTTTGAAGGAACAATAGCATTCATTAGACACTGAAAAAAAACAGGAGAACTCCTCATTGCAACAGCTGAATCTGAGAGAATATCTTCAAAAGCTGTGACGACTGGTGGACCAACCAATGGAGAGGTGGAGAAGCTTCGGGGCCCATTAGCTTGAGAACTCAGCCAGTGCACCACTAACAGCTGCCTGGGTGTTTTCAGAGGTCGGAAAAATTGAAATAGTTAAATATGCACACCCCAAGTCTTAAAGTGCTTCCATTAAAAAGATCAAAGCAGGCCACGGGGCCCCAAAGCAGGCCACGGGGCCCCTGAGAATGGGTTTGGGCCCAGAGAAGATGTTTCAGAACACACACACTGGAACAAATTGTTGTCCAGTCTTTCCTGGACAGTTTCTGTAGTTTCTCTTCCTGTCTTCGGGGGCAATGAAATTCTCAGCTCCCTCTTGACCTCCATGGCCCTGCCTGGGACTCAGTGCCAGGCTGAAGGGCTTGGCAGAAAACATGCCTGTTTAAGGGCGTGTGGGAGCCAATGAAACGATCATTTTCTTACTGTCCAAGAGGAACAGATCAAACCTTGAGAACCATTTGGAGAGAATACCTTGCTGACTGGAGGTTCACTTACTTCGTTTGGGTGGTAAGGATTGGGTAGTAATGTTTTGGCATTTTTCAGAACTGCCATGCTTCGTGGCTGTCATGGTCTGCAGTATGGTTCTTTGGTGCAGGAATGTGACGCCCCTTACAGGAGTGGGAGATAGACTGACTCTGGCCTTTGAACCAGATGTCATCCCGCATTCTAGAGAGTGACTGCACATGATGCCTCTCTTCTGAAAAACCATCATGTTCCCAGGTTCTGACCAGACTATTGCCCACTCAGTGTTTAACACTCTGATAGCAATCCCGTAGCCTTGGCAGGAGTGGCCATGAGCTGAGGAATCCGTGTTTATGCTCCCCAGCAACAAACAGGCATGATCAGAAATTGACAGGCCCCTAGAAGGGCTTGATGCAGTTTCGTTCAGAGACCTGAGCCTGCAGCTTTCCCAGGTTTCACTAATCTTGGGTTTGTACTTAGGAGCCAAAAAGAATGACCATTCTGTGGTGACAGGTGCACCTCCAGAGAAAAATACCAAATCATGGAAAACATGGCACCTTAGAAGCCTTCAGAGCCAGTGAGAGCCTTCTCTAGATATCAAATGTAAGTCATTGCCCATGAGTTCATCCCTCAAGCCAAAGATAAATGTGTTTACATGTAGGGGGGAAAAACCAACCAGAAAGCAATCTAATATATAATCAGCTAAGAATCACGGAATTTCATGCAGGTAGAGGAAATTGTTATCAACATATTCAGGTGTTTCATATTACCAATGGGGAAACTAAGGCCCAAGGAAGAGAGCCAACTTTCCGAGTTTGAGGAGGAATCTCGAGATTTCAGCCATTTTCCACTTCCAATCTGTAGCTATCTAAGCAACCCGGTTTAAAGGGGGGTCGCTGCTTGCACGAGTCCTGTGGCATGGGTTATGCTCCGAGTACCTGGATATCCCTTACAGACAAGCTTTCTGCTGGGCTCGCACAAGCCCCAGGGAACACGTGGAGTGTAATGAAGAAACAGGCAGCAGCCTATCGCTGGCTCGATGCTGCTGACGAAAACCGCACAGGATAAAGCATCAGATGGCCATCTTCCCATGAATATAAATGCTGATCCCTCATGTTGTATGATAACATGGCAAGAACAGTTGAGGACATTCTGAAATCAAAGTTTGCGTGGATCTGTTTTCCTCTGAACAGATCAAAGGCAAACGTGACCCTCATATCTTTGGTGTCGGTGACGTAGAGGATTCCCTGAGCTATGAAGGCGTTGCCAGCCTTGGATTTGGGGTACGTGGTATTGATGTGTTGCAACACAGAGAATGTCCTCTCATCCAGCTGTGCTACAAGGATGCTTGAGCCATCCACGCTTGAAGCATAGATAATCCAGATGCCCTTCTCATCCACAGCTATGTTGAAGTAAGTCTTGGAATTTGCAAAGAGGTATTTTCGATCAAAATACAAAGCATTTTCAAGCTTCAGAGTCTGGGGTGTCTCTTTGCCAAATTCAAATCTGAAACATGATTTTAAAAAATAAGTTAGAGCAGAGTAGCCATGTCTGTGGGCACAGGTGGTTTGTTAGGATCCTTATAAAACTGAATTAGCAGGGCCTGGACCCAGACCTGATGTTTTCTGTGGCCAAAAAAAGGCAGCTTCTCTTCAACTTGCCTTTCAGTGTTCTGGGCAGCAAGGCTGTGAAGGTCAGTGACTAGCCTGTGCTATCAGAAGCAAGGGAGAGAGCAGTGTGGTGTTAAAGACCATCCTCAAATTATTGATGTAGCTGAGGATGGCCTTGAACACCTAATCCTCCCGCCTCTGCCTGCCAAGTGCTAGGATTACACACAGCAACACCACGCCTAGGTTCTGCAGTACTGGAGATCAAAGTCAGAGCTTCAGACACTCTCTCAACTGAGATACATCTCTAACTCCTAAGTCTGGGTCTTAAAACCCCCAAGTCTTCTGGATATTCCTTTTTTTTTTTTTAAGACAATTTAAATTGAGAGAAAAGTCACCAGCTGAGAAGAGATAGAACAAAGGTTGTGAAGACAATTTTCTTGTCCGATTGGGGCTGATAAATACAACCACAGCATGGAATTCCACATCCCTTAGCTTCTGGGGTCTGATTTCTCATACTCCAAACCGAAATCGTATCAAAAAGTGAATTACGATTCAAGCGCTACCTATAATCGGGGAGTGAGTCTATCTAGACTATTGGGCTAAAAGAAAACACCAGAGGGCGCCATTGAGCAGCAGACCGCAGAAGGCAAGGCGTGTGTGACTGTGATAGGCCTTCAGGAAGTACGGCAAACAGAACGAGACTAGAAAACCCGAAGTGAGCTGAAAAGCCGCCAGAAAAGAGCAAGCACTTGGGAAGGGCTCCGCAGTACCAGCTCCCGAGTGCTGGAATTCTGTGCTGCTCTCTAGCCCCGTGGGGCTGGGGGAGGTGTCTGCCGCCCCTCCTTCAGCTCTAGGCTTGCGGCTTGATAAAGATCCCAGGCTTAGGACAGGTTCCCTACCCAATCAGCTCACCCAAGCCCGGCGGTGGCCACGCAAGACTATAATCTCCAGTACTCGGGAGGAATAGATGGAATGCCCCAAACACATCTAAACCACTGCAGGAGACAGCACACACCACACACCGGGCGGGCGCAGCGCGAGACCTGTGAGGAGTCCCAGCAGGGCACAGGGGTCCGTCCAGGCGGCTCACCTCACTATGGTGTTGGAGCCGCCTTTGTGGTAGTAGAGAGAGTTGTTGTAGACCGCGTGCCCACAGCCGTGGAAGTAATGTGGGAGGTGGATGAGGGTGGAGCTGCCATTGAGAAGTGCGGGCAGGTCTTTGAACTCCTTCACCATGATTCCTGCAGGAGAGGGACGGGGAGGCTGTCACCCACCCGCCCTCACAGCCCTGCCCGTGAAAAGTCGGGCTACTGAGAGAACATTGTCCCGTCCCACCCACCCCACTCTAGAAGTTGTAAAATCAGGTGGCACAAATCCATTCCAGGAACAAATCCTCGGCTCAGTTGTGCTTGCTGGCTCCCACCTCTTGCTACCTGCCAAGACCACTGCTACTCCTACACAGCATTTCTCTTTTCCTTTGAACCCCAACCCCTCAGCTTGGTAGGTGAAGGTTATTATTGCACTGATGAGCTGGTGCTGATGAAATAAAGAAGCAGCTCTTAGCTTCTTTTCAATCAATGTGTACTGTCAGACCCTTCCTGAATGAGGCCATTGTTACTACAACTGGCCACTTCAATCACATCTTTTGGGAACAGTATGACTGGTCCTGCGTTCAGACATGAAGAAGGTTCAGACATGGAGAAGGTTCAGACATGGGAGGGTTCAGACATGGGAGGGTTCAGACATGGGAGGGTTCAGACATGGGAGGGTCCAGACTGGGGAGGGTTCAGACATGGGAGGGTCCAGACTGGGGAGGGTTCAGACATGGGAGGGTTCAGACTGGGGAGGGTTCAGACTGGGGAGGTTCAGACATGGAGAGCGTTCAGACATGGGAGGTTCAGACATGGGGAGGTTCAGACATGGGAAAATGGCTGAGATGGCTCTTTGCCTTCTCCCTTGGCCTCTGT